ACAGATAAACATCAAGCATGAACAGATAAAAATATCAAGCACGTGATAGATAAACATCAAGCATGAACAGATAAAAATATCAAACACGTACAGATAAATATCAAGCACGGACAGATGAATATCAAGCATGAACAGGTAATATTTCAGGCACGGTGTAACATTTTGTCAATCCATGCTTGATTTTTCACCCGCCCAATGCCTGATAGTTTAGTCCAGCTCGGCTTGCCATAGTTTTTAGCCATTATGAACATGAAATAGATCAGGCGCAGACAAATCACGCGTCGCACAATTCTAATATTTAATTTCGTGTTTTTATTTAATAAAGTTTTTTTAAGATACTTCGCAAAAATTAATGAAAAAATTGATATTTTTAATTATTAATATTAATATAAATTTTGCAAAATTTTAACAATTAATATTTTTTATTGATTATGTATAAATTATTTCTAAAAAATATTCCACAAATATTAAATGTTTTATTGTAAAATTAATATCATCTATTAATATTTTTAAATAATTTTGGTAATATTTAATTATTTTTTTGCAAAAATCTACATTTGACATTAGAAAATAAATTCACTTTTGAAATATGACCGTTTCTTGCTTGATGCCGAAAAATTGACTTAATTCTGACATATAAAATTTTATTTACAGTATAATTAATGTGATTATATATAGTCGTACCAAATCATTCACATTTTAATGATATTCCATGTAGTGCTCCGCATGAGTTCCGCATGGGTCGAGTCGGATTAGGTTTAAAGGGATATTTGAACTCAAATCATGTTATCCAACTGTAACTCAACTCGAATGAATATTCAGGTCGATCATTTTGGAAACTTTGGACTCATTAATCGAAATTATATAAAAATATATTTGTTTTTAATATTATTATATATTGATGGATAAATAAAATTGATCATAATAAATTTAAATTTACAATTTAATTAAGATAATGACCAAAATATCTTTTTAAAATTGATGGATTTATTCCTTCTATACTTTGCAAATTCCAGGATTTCAAACACATTTATGCGTGATTTGTGTTGTTTATACATCATACTGTAATAAATTTATTAAGTTCTAATTACTAAATATTTTTTAATATAATTGTCTAACTTGAGTCATCTTGAGCTAACCAAAGTCAAAGAAACGACCCTAATTCGAGTACCCGACGGGTTCATATAATTTTCATTAAACTCGACTCGAGTCAATTTAACTCGATACGTGCGGAGTTAACAGAAAGTGCATTACATCCCTTGAGGAATGATAACTGAAAGAGGTGATCCTGCATTATGGGATTATAGAATAGTTTTAATTAAGTAAGTAACACATGCAGAATTTAAAGTTTGCATTTGTTTTAAAATTATTATTAAAATTTATACGGATGTATTAATTTTATTCCATGGTTCATTTATGAATAGTTCTATTTATAATGTAATTTAATTATAAAATTAGGAAAATGAAAATATTTTTTTTCTGGAAAAGAAATGAGAAAATCTTTAAAACGCGAGTATTACTTTTAGTTTTGATAATTTAACTAGACTTAATTTGAAATCCATGGTTCAAATAAAAAAGAAAATAAGAAGAAAAGTCAACAAAAGAGTCAAAATAGTTGAGGCTAGTATTACATATGTATAATCAGTATGGTGCGTGAAAATTGTATTTTAAATCTGGCCAACAGTGGGAAATCCGTATAGAACTTGATGTTTAATAAAGAGATTTTTTTTAAAAAAAATTTGATTTTATAAATTTAAGAACGTAATAATAATGCAATTCAGGAAGTTTGTTCCAGTACTACTTGTGTAACCTAAATACTAAATAGTGTGTCATCGTTTGAATTTTTTATTTAACTTTTCATTCTAATCTTATTATCAAATGATACTGATTATAACGTTATTAATCAAGTCGGTGAAAATCAAAATATAGAAGAATTTCGTGCACATTTTGTTATTTTACGTGCTCGTTCTTATTATTTTAAAAATGATTTTTCTGCTTAATTAGATTACAAAGAAAAAATAATATTAATGTTTATTAAACAAAATGTTATTCCAAATATTCTCAAAAATAATTAGTAATACATTAAATCTTATTGATAACTTGGTTTAGAATTGAACTCAGTAAAACATAAATTATAATTTCTTAGAACTAGATTTTCCTTTGTTTCCATATTACTACTTAGTGACGTTTAGATCACGTGGTGATGTCCCGGTTGTCTGTCTGCAGTCACTAAAATTTTGATAAAACGAGTGTTACGTTTAAAAGTACGTTAACTATGTTATACTACGAAAAAAAAAATTTCATGAAAGTTTTAGTTAAATTATAGAAATAAAGCAAAGTTAAAAACGAATTTAGAAAAAACCGCTTACCTTAATGTTACTCTTAGCGATAATAACTTGCTAATAATATCACTTTATTAAAAAGAATTAATACTTTATTAAGTAAATAAGCACGGATATTAAGTCATTTTTCCATATTTCGTCAACTTGAAATTAAAAAAAATTTTAATACGTAACAATTGAAATTAAAGAATATAATTATGAACTAAAATTTGTTACGCTCAATATCTTATCAAGATCGACAATATATACATGTTGTATATAAGTTACTCATGATTAAATCATCTGGTATACATGTTATATATATGTTACTCATGATTAATTTAATAAAAAAACGTGTACATTGTACAATATGATACTTATTTACTTATAAATTGTTAAATTACGATTCTATTTCTGCAATGTGACCATATTTATTCATTCTTACATGGATCACATCGTATCTTAAATACATCATGATACTTATTTTTTCACTAGTTTGTTCTAGATTAATATAAAAAAATGTTATATTAAAATTCTATTTTATGCAATATGAGCCATATTTATTCATTCTTAAAAGGATCACATATGAAGTTTATAATCTTTTGTAATAATGACAAAAGCTGAGTATTTGGTAGTGCTTTTTCGTGTGATTTTTTTATATATAAATCCCTAATTTCTCAACTTTGATTTTACTGCTTTGCTTTTTTCAAATATAATATTTTTAAAATACAATATTGTTAAAATTAATATTTTTTTTAAATTTTTCATTATTATAATAATCAAGTTTATTAATAATATTAATACATATTCATTTGTCATAAATATATTTTTTTTTCATCATAAGTTAATGAATCATGAATATAACTGAAAATTATATCGGATATGATGGTAAGAATCAATCTAAAATTCTAAATATTTAACAAAGAGCCTCTAACTAACTCATTGACTATTATTAGCTCTTGTTACTTATTTAATTGAATCAAAAAATTATCCAACTTACCACAGATTTTTGAATCTTAACCGAGATATTATTATTTCTTCACTAAATTTACCAACTAACTCTTCATTAGCATTGAACTTGGACAAATGGCAATATTTTAACATTACCTGGTACAAGCGATTTTTAAATGAAGTCAAAAACTTATTTGAACCAGATATTTTTGTTGCAGTAAAGGATAAGGTGCGTTTATTTTTTATTTTGCAAAGTGTGGGTAACTCTTAAAACTCCTCGTAGTCACTTAATGAGAATTACTGTCTTCGTTCGTTTGGTAACCAACCCAAGCTCTCATTTCAGGCGCCCTTGCTTTGTTGTTTAGTAAAGTCTGCTTGTTTTGGAGGAGGAACTCGCTATGTACCTTCTTTACTACTAAATAAAAAATTGTGCACTATTAACAATTTCTTCTTATTACAGATAAAAACAGAACATTTACAACGTAAAAAAGAATTACAAATATTCTGGCAAGAAATTATTAAAGAATTTGATAAAAAGAAGAAAAATCTTCCTGAAACTTCACAATCAGATTTACCTAAAAATAAGCAAGAAGTTATTAAGGAATGTGATAAGAAGAATCTAGTACTTGCTGAAATTTCTCAACCAGCAACATCACTTTCAAAAAAGACATGTAAAGACTCTATTAAAAATCTTTCTGAACCTTTACAACCAGATTTACAAGTTAATAAGGAATGTGAAAAGGAAAATATAATACTTGCTGAAACTTCACAAGCAGATGTATTACTTTCAAAAATAACAGTTAAAATTCCTGTTAAAAATCTTTCTGAAATTTCACAATCAGTTTTGCCTAAAAAGAAATTTCAATTTACTGACTTTTGTTATGATATACTTCATGAACTTGAAAACAAATCTTATGCTAATTTATTCTATAAATATGTTGAAAAGGATGTTAAAAATAAGGCTATAAAAAATCCCATGGATTTATTTACTATAAATTTAAAATTAAAAAATAATCAATATATAAGTTTAGAAGAATTTGAAAAGGATATTCGTTTAATATTTTGCAATTGTTATACATATAATGATGTTGAAAGTGAAATATATAGATCAGGTAAAACATTAGAATGTATTTTTAATAAAAAATGGAATGAAAAACTTGTTCTTCAAGGTAAACAAACAAATGAATTAAAAAGAGTAAGAGAAAATGATACTGAAGATACTGATAGAACCTGGAAGAAACAAATTCAAATTTTAGAACAAAATAAGGATAATTTAATGTATAGACAGGTTGTTAATGATGCACTTCTTATTACTTCAGCATATGAAGATCTTGTTATAGGTAATATTATACCTTTTATTGAAATTTTAAAAACTTTTCTATTAACAAGATCAAAAATGTCTTTATCTTTGGCAAATGAATCTATGCTTTGAGCAATTGTTGAAAGTCTTTTGCCATTAAAATATCGCATTCCAGAACTTTCATTAGTAATGAATGGCAAAAAATTAAAAGGATCAGGTCGCTTTGGTTATTCAGATATTTTTGTTTTAAAAAGATTAGGAGATAATTATATTAGTTTAGAATTAAAATATATTTCATTAGTTGGTTCGATAAAAAATCAAAAAGTTGAATTTGGTGCAAATGAATTAGAAAATTTAGATAAAATTCTTGAAAAAGAAAATGAAGAAATTTTATTAAAAAGATCATATACATATTGGTCAAAAGAATTGAAAAAAACTAATCAGACAACTATAGGTGAAATATTAAATAATGGTATAAGTCAATTAAAATCATATATGAATACAATTTCAAAAGGAAAAGTTGCTAATTATTCTAGTTCAGGAGTATTTGATGAACGTATTGAAATAATTAAATCAAATCCTAATAAATTAAAAGGATTTGTTATTTTAGTGATTGGTTTTCGTCGTATTTTATGGAAACCTATTGAAGAAGTAATATCTAATTATAATTATAACAAAATTTAAAGTATATTTAATAATATTAGAAAAGAAATAAGTATTGGTAGATAAAATTGATTTTATATAATGGTATGAACATATTTAATATAGTAAGTATAATAAATTTTTACCAAAATTACATTTATATTATATTTTATCTTTTATATATATAAATAATTACTAAATAAAATTACTAATAAAGATATAAATTTAATTATTATTTTAATATTTTTGCTTTAAATGACAAGTCATCAGAATCATGCGTCATATAACATAATTTTTAATCAATTTATATCATATCATGTAATATTTCACCCGGTAACTCTATAAAGATAGACGGCATGTGGCCTTCCTTATAAAAAATTGTCCCGTATATGATCGGCAAAACAAAAAACTGCTTATATCGGCAAAATGATTTACTGGGAATTAGCCGCAACTAGCCATTTGCCAAAAACAATAACATTCACCAGCTTTTTTAAGCTTCAAGATTTCTTGGCAATTTTTTTAAATAAAGAAATATTTTAGGTTAAAAAATAAAGGTTCAGAACTGTGGCTTCTAACCATGTAAGTTTTATTACAGGAGTCCATATTTACTGAAAATTGGAATTATGAAACTTATGATTTGGACATTTTGAATATATGAACGATCAATTAATAATACTCTCCCTTAATTAATACAACTCCATATATTTATTCTGAAAAACTGTACCGGAAACGCTAAGAGTGTGACAACTGACATGTTATATTAATATACTCCTGTAATTGACTACACTTTAAACGTTTCATTTATGTGGATGAGCATGATAATTTTTAACAAAAATGTCATAAAACTTTTTTAACTAGATTTTATGAAAAGCTTTGTTGGTAATTAAGAAATTTTATGATAAATTTTAATATTAGTGATGTGGCATTATTTTCTCTGTGTGTATATTCTAAACAAATAATTTTTGCATTATTTTAAAAGGTGAAATACACTCTAATTTAGGATCAAATATAATAAATATTTTGAATGCATTTATTCATCAAGCAGTAACTCAATTCATGATTTTTAGTTCATTTAGATAGATCTCACTCTCTTTTTTCCAATGAATGCAAAATTATTACATTAGTTTCTTGTTTTCCCAATGAATCAAGAAAAATCTTATATAAGAATGAAATTTTCCTTTCAACACCTACATCAAAACCACCACTATTTAATTGTGCATCATTTTGCAAAGTCCTTTCAATTTGTAGGATTAATGTAATTGTTGAAGACGTCCTTAAAAATGAACTATCAAATGTAAATTGTTTAGTTACAAATGAAATTATTAAAATGTTTATGAATCAAATTTTGAAAAATTGAACTATTACTGTAATCAATACACTATTAATTTAATTAATTTTTCTTTTACTTACTTTTCTGGAGCAAAAGATCTTTCAGAGTTATATTGCAGTTCAAATCTTCCTTCTAATTTTTTTTCATCAATTGTATCAAATATGTCATAATTTACAATAAAAGAATTGATTCTTTTTACAAAATAATTTAAAAGATTTGACATTATCAGCCTTTGATTATGTGAGTTGGGAAAATATTATACCTGCTATAAAAAAACACTCTCAAACAATAACAAAATTACGACTTTACAGAGCACAAATTACAAAAATGAGACTAAACTAGCCGATGTGAGTGAATTCAACCCCAGGAACTGGAGAGGAACCTCGAACTAATTTATTTACTTTGTGCCGCCTTATAAATAAAATATTTAAATTTTTTATTTTATTAAAGACACAGTAAAGTCTAATTTTAAATTAATTTTGGACTTTCAAATTAGTTTTAAATTAATTTTAAATCATATTTAAATCTTTTAAATTAGTTTTGAACTAATTTCTATTAGTTTCAAAGTTGAATTAGTTTAGAAGTTTGAGTTGCAAATATGTATTACGTAGTAAATGCCAAAATTGGCTTAAAGCTAAATTCACATTAAGTTGATAGTACAATCAGTAATTATCTTGTGTTAAACCTAAATTCACACACAATCAGTAATTTATCTTGACTTAAGACCTTGTCCCCACGCTTAGTTAAATATGGTCTAATGGTTTAAGCAGCATCTTCTGAACCAAATTAAAGGAATTGAAAACTTGAAAACTGACACTTAGTCAAATACGGTCACCATATGACTAAAAAATTGTTTAACAGTAATTCACTTTTTTTTTTAATAAGTACTCACGATATGATGAATACTCACGATATGATGAATACTCACGATATGATGAATACTCATTCTAGATAAATTCTTTTTTTTTCGAAGTACATGATTACTGATAAGAGTCTGATCAATATATATTTTTAAACAATTATATTTTTGTTTATAGCAAAAACTGATATTTTTCGCATTTTCGTGGTTAAGATCGGATCACTTCTATTTTTTGCCAGGTCGAGTCTCAAAATTTCTCTCTCACTAAAAAACACTTCTTTCTATAAATCGCTTTACACAAATGATGGTGTCAATAAATTGTTTATGCCTAGGAAAGACTTCTTTTGATGATACTTTTGTGGTTAACATTGCTAATGATAGCGATATTTGTGGTTCTTTGATCAATATTAACAATTTAAGGATTTCAGACCTCAAGTTCCTTATTTGGAATAAGAAAAAAGCTACGTTAGGAATTAATGATTCTGACATTATGGATCTTTGGAAGGTTAACATCGCTTACAATGATGAAAACAAGCTTAAACATGTTACTACTGAAGATGATATTAAAAAAGAGCTTGGAGGCAAGAAGTTGGTACCCATCCTCTTAGTTAAGAAACTTTTTTTGGAACAATCGCTTGTAGATGAGAACATTCACGTCATCGTACAATTGCCCACTGCTGCTGGTAAGTGTATTAATGTCAAAGAAATTTTATAACAAATCTCTTACTTATTATTGGTTTTTAGAACCTTATTGGAATGATGATTCTTCTGTCTACGAGTGGATAAAACAATTCAAACCAAACCGTGGCCGAAACCTAGTAAGCTTTATTCTCTTTTTAATAATGTGTCTTTAGCTTCTCTGACTAAATTGAATTGACTTTTTCAGCTCGTTAAAACTTATGGCAAAGACTTCAAGTTTCTTCAAAGAGATGACACTATTAAAGCCCTTTGGAAAGGCACAGTGATAGCTGGAATTGAAGCCCGATTTAAATATCGTAATGTAAGTGACAAAGGCCTTCATCCAATTCCTATCTTAGTGGGTGGACCTGGAGTTGGAAAGAGCAGATTTCTGGATGAAGTTGAACGATTGCTCGGTCAATATGCTAATGAGTCTGACGATGAAGAAATACGGAAGGCTTTCACCAATATGACTGTCATAAACACCACCTACGGGAATGGATCCCCTGCTGGAACTATGGATGTAAATTTTGGTGCTGAGGCATCACTTGCAATTCGTATTCTATATGAGTACTTTCGACCTAATCATAACTATGGCAGTTTAGAATTTTCTCATTTTCAATCACACTGCTATAATTATTCGAATATTTCAAGCTTTACCCTGAGCACTGCTCTCCGAATTATTTATGCTGATGTTATTATACAAAAGAAACAAGAAATAAATTCTAATCCTCTGCTTGTCCTGGTTCTTGGCATTGACGAGTTCAACAAATTGCATGATACCGAAAAAGGCATCTGTAAGGAACTTATTAACGCAATTGGAGGAGTTATGTGTCGTCCACCTCCAAACATTTATTTCATTCCTATTCTCGCTGGAACAATTGAAGAACACTTATATGATTATATTTCAGGTTCTATGCATGAAATACTTCCCCTCCCACTACGCTTACTTAATGATGATGATGCAATCAGAATTGGTATGAAAATGAATTTATTTGATGATAAATATGTCAGACTGCATCCTTATTTTCGAATAAGTATTTGTGATATTGGAGGACATGTGAGAACATTGGAGTATTACTATGAGTATTTTGCACAAAAATTTGCAGCAGAACACAAAAAACTAAAAACAGAAAAAATGTCAAAGGAAGAGAAAATAGAAACAGCTGTTCATAACGTGAATATCAAGAAAATCATGGAATTTGTTAAACAAAAAATTATAGATAAATATTCTCTTGAGCTAAACTCACATTGGTTGACAATACCACTTGCAAAGGCCATATTGGGTTTTCCAGTTAAAAAAATGGATACGATCATGCTCAACAAAATATCAATGTCATACCAGGAACTTAGCTCAATGGGAGTTGTGAACCTGGTTCCAACAGAAGAACGTGGAGAATACCTTATTCGCTTACCTTATGTGTGGGTATGTGCAATTGTTGAAAGTTCTGATGACCATGGGATGATGTATTTGAAATTCATGATGTTAAGATATGATGAGCCATGGCAGAATTTTGAAGATTTTAATGCCAAGTTCTGGGCATTACGCCTCAGACTCTTTCATTTAATAGGATATAAGCAGATTAAGTTGAAGACTCTTTTTAAAGGTGCGGATTTCTCTCTTAGTTTTCCAGATGTTGAAGTTGATTTACCTAAAATTATAGATATCAAATTGTACAGATCACTACATCGATACCCAGGTATTATGTTTTGCTGATTTTTTTCTAATAACAAATCACATCAGACTCAAATCCCATTCTAATATAATTTAGTTACTAAAACTTACAAGAATAATCAAGTGAAATATGAAAACATGACAGAAGTAAGAAATGGTTATATTGACCTTGATTTACTGAAGGAAGGTAATATCAAGAGATATATTGGTTGCTTATTTTTTAATGCGCCTGGGGAGGTTAACCAAGAATTATACGATAAAACGTATGAAAAGGTAACAATACTGCTTCATATATTAAGTGCACATGCATCGTTAAAATTGTTGATTAACAAATCTCTTTCTCATATAATAAGGTTGCTGAAGCTATGAATAAGGCTGAGGTGAAAGAATGGGTTTTATTATTCTTAACGAATGCAAATAAAGAAAACAACCTGTCTATAGATAATAAACCAAACAGTGCATTAGTGTCTATGAAAAACTTTCAAAAGTTTTATGGATATACATATGCGAGTCGTGCACAATTTGCATCTGGTATGTTTGTAATTTGGAATTTCCTTTTTGATTATAATGTTTGCTAATGTTCTTTTACATTTACATAGCAAACGAAAAAATATATTTCAATTCTGCACCTGTTGAGTCACTCACAATTCTTGGCTTCAATGAAGAAGAGAGAAATAATATACGCCTTAAACGCAAAGGACACCCCGGAAAGGCTTGACATTGATGATGAGAAATTTAAAAAGTTGAAGTATGATAGGATTACTTTTTAATCTTGGAAGTTGATGACATAAACTGGACAAATTTTCTATAATTATAATCACTCTGTATTCAAATTATTATTAATTATACTAGAAAATGAAAGCTGTTGAGTTTTTTTTAAACATTGTCTTTTGTACTTTTTCCAATTATCTGTATTTATAACTAATATTATATAAATAAATTAGGTTTAAACCATAATTTACAAATAACTTAAAATTATTTTGATTATTTAACCGTGCACATTTTTCTTATTAATCACGTTTTTTTATTTGGAGCTGTCTCTAACTAATGAGATAGTAAAAAAATAATGTAGTAATGGACGTTTAAAGAGAGCAATTATCTCACTAATTTTTTTAGCTATCTATTTTCTATTATTTCAAAATAAATTATTCAGTCTACACGCCTTTATCTATTATATCTATGCTGATCTTTTGAGAAAAATACATTACGGATAACTGGCCTGATGTCATGTAACTTTTAGAATATAAAAAACCATGACATTTTATCATGATCAATGTTATACATAAAAATTTTTATTAATACGATGTAATATGAGTAAAATATTGATATGATCTGTAAAGCAAATTTCTCCTAGTTACACAAAATCGATTTGTTGATTCCTACTATCATTCTCTTTTAAAATGTCCAGTAACTTAAAAGCCTCTTCAATTGTAAACATTCCTCAGATTTAATATTTTATTTAAAATTTATTGTACTAAACTTTTTTTTTAAAAAATAGTATATATATTTTATATTTTATTCCAAATTGGCTTAATATTACAAAGGTATTTTTATTCTGTGAAAGTAAAACTCACTACATACCTGTAATAAATAGTTTTTTTTTGTTTCAATTGCAAAATTAGATAGTGATATTTATAGAAAATATATATTAATCAGCACAATCAATAATGTGACTAATGTGACTTCATCTTTCGGTAAATTACTTAGCCAGTTTTTATGATCCAAATCCTGGTGGTTATTTCCTGAATAAAAATTAATTAAGGAGATTACCTTATCTTAATGAAACGTAAAAAAAAAAAAAAATTTTTTTTTAAAAATTAACAAAAAATGAAAAATTTGGCCATATTCTTAATTGAGAAAAAAGAATTAATTTGGTGGACATTATACACCGCTGTGGTTACGTCTACATTTTTTTTTCTATTTATCAAATTTATACTCAAATATGATAATAAACAATTTAGTTCAATTTTTCTTATATTGTAGGTGTTTAAATGATAAAATTCATGAAATAACTAATTAGTACTGAAATTTTAAGCAAAGTCAATATATTATTTAGAGGAGAAATAAAATTCTTTAAAAATTTTTACTGGGTCGAGTTTCGATCAATTTATTATTTTTTGTCCTTTAATATTGTGAACATATATTCTATTAAATTTATGGAAATTATATGATAAATGAAACTTATATTTTTCTACGGTGATTACTGCAGATACCGAGTTGCACATGAAAGAAAATGTACGATTTATTTTAACCCACCTCAAAAATAATTTTAGATAGATCAAGTTAAAGTTTTTAAATAACTTTAATTAAAAACTTATTCGAATAAAAAAAAAATAAAAAAAGGATTAATAATAAATATAAAAACAAATCACTTTTAAAAATATATATAAAGTTAATAACAAATTTAAAAATTATTTGTTTGTTTTGCAATCAATTTTAAGTCTTTCTTAATGGTTTAATAAGTAAGACAATCTAACCTACTAAGACTTTTATTTAATTTTTATCATGATATCAGAATGAATATTTGTCAAAACATTTCGCTTTCTAAAGTTTGATTGTAATCAAAGTTGAGCGTCTCTTTTTTAATATTTTTTCTTTTTTTTTGCTTATTTGATTCTTTCATAAAAATTCCCACAAAGATATAATAATACTAAGGTAAATAAAAATGTGAACTAAGTTAAATAAAAAATTTTTAACTATTATCTTTTTAAATTCTGACTATTCCCAAAAAAAAAACTATTATAATTTAAATCTCATCATTCAAATTATCTTCTTCTTGATTAATTTTCATTAAGATCTATTATTAGTAATGATTAAATAAAATTAGATTAATTAAATGAGAAACTATTAATAAAATAATAAATCACTTCAAATAAATTATTTTACCTGATTCGCTAAATTTTACAATCGAAACCATTCTGAAACTATAAATTAAACAACAGAACACAATGGATCTCTGGACTCACAACATATTTCTATTTCCTAGTCATAAAGTAAAAATGAGTCATAAAATTTCTCATCCTGTATTCATAAATTCTTATTAATTGAAAATTCCAAAGTACTTGATTCAAAGATGATCATCTCAAATAAATGTAAAAAATCACGCAAAAAAAAATTTTCTACTCCTATAAAAAGATTAAATATGCTCTTTCATGCAATATGAACTGCAAAGTAATATGGTGAAACTATTGAGAATATGTAACATTTTATTATAGAAATTCCTACATTGAATCTATTACATATCAAATCAGCAAATTAATCCTCCCTTCTAATTTTTTTTTTATTAACTGTATGTATTAACTTTTTAAAATAATACAAAAATATAAAAAAGAATTTGACATAACATATTAGGGAAAAATTTAAATTTGTAATGTTACAAAGAATATCATAGATAGACTTACTTTTTGATATACAGTACATTTAATACTTATATATATACATATCTTAATTAATATAATTAAAGAATAACACCCAACTTGTAATTAATAAAGCAATAAAAATAGCGATATAAAAATAATTCATTTTTATAGGTTTGTTATAATCTTTAACTTTAACAATAGCACGTTTTCTTTTTCTTTCATCTTCTTTCATATCTAAAATACCATTACGCCAATTTTTTGATACAAAATATAATAATATAGATATAAATATAACACATACACTATTACCCAAATAAAATCGCATTACCATTCCATATTTGCCTCCATCTTTATCTTGTAATATTCCAACAAGTATATCATAAATTGTTGAACCAATATTTGAACTTGATTTATCTATACCTAATGCTGTACCAACATAATCTAACGGCATTATTATTGGTATAGATGACAATAAAACTACTGGTCCTAATGAAAGTGAAATTGAAAAACAGATCGTTCCCATAATTATTACTATAGGTGTTAATTCTACGAATCCAAGGAGACACATTGATATGGTAAGAAAAATTGAGGACATAATCACTAGTTCAAACAGTTGAAAGAACGATATTTATATAATTATTTAAATGTATATAATAAATTTTGTTAGAGAAGTAAGATAATTCTTACATGTTAGAGATCGATTTCCAAAACGATCTAAAAAGTGTCCAAGGAAAGGTGAAACGAATATTGGTAAAAACTGGGCAATACTAGAAGCAAAAGCAGCATATTTATCTGTGCTATTCCATCTGACTTTTATCAATTCCCTATAATTAAAATGCAAGTCAAATCATTATTATAATTAATACATAAAAATGAATGAAATAAATACTCTTATTTACGTTTGAGTATGTAAAAATGAAGTCCATGCACTTCCCAAACCAAATTCAAGTAGAACAAAGATCCAAAAAATATTAGGAAATACTAATAATTTTTTAGGACTAAATTTTTTCTTTTGTTTTATCTTTTTCATTTCATGTCTTGATAATTCGTCATGGAGCATTTTCATCAAAAAAATGTATATGATGTTGATTATTAATGAAATAACGCAAAGAAGCGCAGAAAACTATATCATAAAAAAGAAGGATAAGCAAAAGATTTAAGTTGAATAATTAAAAATCATCATACCCAAAGTGCCCATCCATAAAATCCTGTACTTTCCCAGATAGGGACTACCGTCAGATTGCTCAGGAATGATGCCTTTGATAGAAAAAAAGGTTAATTAAATTACCACGTGCGACTTTGACCTTTGCATTATTAATAATAATATATCGTACCAGTCTTGACACAGCAATTTGAGTTCCTACGGCAATGGCTAATCCTTTTCCTTTAAACCAATGACTTAAAATAGCTGTTTGAACTATAACAATAGTCCCACTACCAATTCCATATAAGGTTCTACCAATTACCATCATAGCAAATGATCTCAAATTTGCTGATAATGCTACAAATATATTTCCTACAGCAATAAGAGAAGTGGCCAATATGGAACCAATCCAAGTACCAAATATATCAATAAATATACCACCGAAAATAGGCAGAATTGTATTAACCAACGACACTGCTGATTGAATAATTCCATATTTTGAATTTGAAATGCCCAATTCCTTATAGTTAAAGAGAATAATTTAACATCATGTGATTGTGGGAAAAGCAATATAGAAGATATACATACTGTCTTGACGATTGACTTTAAAGCGTCAAGAGTATGAGCGGCATAATGACTTCCCACTAGAAAAAAAAATAATTAAATCATCAATTAACATATTGCTTTTTCTACTTTAAATACCTACCAGCTAAAGATAAAACGCATAACAAAGCAATCAATTTATATTTCCAAGGTCTTTCTTCTTCATAAGTTACTTCTTCTAATGAAGCTTTATCATTATCTTCGTGCTTAGAATCAATACTAATTCTTCTTTCCTCTGGTAATTCACTTGACAATGAAGATCGTGTAGCCATAGCTTCGTATGTGGAATTATAGAAACTAGTGGTTCAATGAAATCATTTTGGCTATATTTATGTATTTATGTATTTTTTTTTTTTTAAAAAAAAGGGGGATTGATATACTGTATACTGTATACGTGTAATGATCTTCACTTATTAATAGGATCGTTTGGGGAATCGCGTGTCGATCTGAGGTCATATGTCTATAAATCTTTTATATCACAATCATGCCTAGTAACGTCTATTATTATGTTCGATTATGTTTACTAAAGTCTTATGCCAATTTTTTTTTTTAGAATAGAGATTCTTAACCAATGATAATTTTGGAGAATTAAAATTTTATCAGATTAGATGATCTTATAAAGTCATATGTGAATCATGACATCTTTACCATTTCGAAGTCATAACATAAATTAGCTATTAGCCTTATATGTTATAGATTTATAGTTCAAACTTTAAATATAAATCAGATTACAGGAACTAGTGACACATTACGTAAAATCCAAACCCCTTGGATAAAATACGTTACACTAGCCTGGTCGATCGCCAATATTTGTATATTGGGCGGATAGGGATAAACTGTTTACCAGGTATTATTTTTGTTTGTCAATCCGACCTAAAAAATATTAAATTTTAATATGTTTAATTCATGTAGTTTGTATTAAAAAATTCTTTATGCTTTATTTATTTTATTTACGTGAGATATTTGTAAAAGTTTTAATAAAATAAATTTTTTTTTTAATATGTATTTATAATTTTATTAAACTACACCAGTTTGTTTTAAATTTGTCGCATTTTATTATTTTGAAAATAATGAGTCACAGTAAAAAAGCATCCCCAATTATTTAAGTTCTATAAATCAATTAATGTACCAACCCGAATTGGACATCCGATCCTAAATAGAGAAATACCGTTAGAATTAACTATTAATATCAACACAATGATTAAGAACAATCTGATAAAAAAGATCAGCGTGACTGCAGTATGATCATCCTAATACTGAATTTAACCTTAAAAAAGAAGAGAAACACCGTTAGTGTTCAATTATTTTAAATTACCGGCATCAATAAGACTAAATACTGATTTTATTAAAATAAAATTAGTAATTCGAAAAAAAAAGTACCGATTCGAACTACACGCCGATATTTCAAAATTTTCCATTTCAAAGTGTTAAAAACGAATATAAAAGTAAGAAAAAAAAAAAAAATTTTTTTTTTTAATTAATTAAATAAATATTGTTAAATATAATAATAGAAAAATTTCACCTTAAAATTTTAAATGGGCGTTTGAATATTATATTAACGATAGATAAAAAAGGAATCAAATAATTCAGGGTTGATAATTTTTCAGAAATATATTGCGAGAAAAAAGCTGATTATGGTTAAATAAAAAAATCCTATTGATTAACATATTGTTCTAAAACCATTTATATTGATCTTAGCTATTTTAACTATTATTAAAAATCTACCCATCCGAATCTATTGTTCTTAATTAAAAATTATTGATTATATAATTAATATTTTATCATACTAGGAATAAAGGAACAGATGTAAAATACCTTTTTCCCGGATTCTCTGACTAAAAGTGGCTGAACTTTTATTATTTATATAAATTGACGTTGTACAATAAAATCGGATCTTATCTATAATATGATTAACAGTACAGGACCAAATCTCCCGTATATATATACTATAATATTACATTACGTGTAATAATAATATTATACATTTATAAACAATTTACTAAATAAAACTCCAAAATCTAGAGAGCTTAATGTCACTTAAAAAGGCTCCAAGTGGATTAAATTAATATATTTTTAATATGAATAATTTTTTCCAATTCAAATAATTTAGTAAAAATGAGAGTTCGGGAAAATACAAAAATCAGATGATCTAATCTGTTATTACGGTGGTACAAATCAACTGTCATTAGTTTGTCTAATTGATCCATACAGGATATCGATCTGCTATATTATATATGTATGGATACAATTACAATACTTAAGCATACGTAAGCATACATTTATTACCATACATACGTACATATCGTTCCATACAATACTTATTTTTTATATACTCCAAAATTAAATAAGGATTTTGCGCCACCAAAATACATGACCTTTTGTTGATCGTGTGTTGATAAACAGGTATTCGATTCATATATTATTAGAAATAGATTAATATTATTGCTCATCGCTTGTTTAAAGACTAGTAAATATTACCCAATTAGTGTTAGCATTAGATTAAAATAAAGAGCGGTCGATTTGTAATCATAACTTTATGGTCGAATACGGAAGTGATATTCACAAATAATTAGAAAAAATACATTTACGTGAAATGATCTTATGCTTCATAAACTAATGTCGGTCTTCACCTTTTTTTACGCCTACACTAGTAAGAATGAAAATCCCGTCTATATTATTTCAACAAATCACCTTTTCTTGAGTTGTTCTACCAATTTCATAATATACAATGCATGTCCAATTTTAATATTCAATGGACTAATGAGCTTCCCCAGTCAAATGGAGAAAAGATTCCATCAACGGATAACGTAATCATGGATCGTCAAAATTGTGCTCTTCGAGCAGTCTCCCTACCCTCTGGGTAGAAGTTCCTCTGCAAAGGTCTTAGGAAATACCCCTCCATAATTTTCCTCGTTCCTCGAAAAATCATGGAGAATTTTTTTTGTAGACATCTGTCTATTATTCATCTACGTAATTGATAATGTATACAGAGCGTGGTTGAGCGGCAAGACGCTCATGGCATTGCTTCGCAATGTGTTCCTAATTTTATTCACAGAATTTTATCAACGGTGTCATATGAGAAAAGAACATGGGCATAATCCTATCTTTAGACAAATATCATAACTAAAAAATACGAATTATGCGTAACAAAAAATATGATCAGAAGATGATTAACCTTTTGTGTTGATAGTGTTTCAAAGACATATTATCATATAGTTAGTCAGAAGCGGATTATTAATAACGTACATCATTTCTTTTCAGAGTCTAGATTAATTATTACTCCATTGGCATTAGACAGAATAAAGGGTTGATTAGTATTCGAATAGTGAAATGATCATCAGTCCTTTTTTATGACATGAGGATCTCTCAAACTTAGTCAATCAAAATCTGCCAAGTTTTTAATATACGGGAAAATCGGGATAACTATACTCCTTTTGATGACATATGTTGTGAATAAGAAGCGTAGTTGAGCAGCAAGCCAATAAGATTATTGTATTCACTGGAGTACAAATTTCTTGGCCAAATCCTATACCTTTACCAAAATTACGTAACAAATGCACGGATATTGACTACGGGACAGATTATTAGTGGACAACAAGCATGACATGTGACATCGATACCCGAGGGTGTTGCCCACGTGCTCTTAAGCAATCTATATGGATAACACATTTGTCGATGATATTTTTCAAAGCATGGCAAATAAAAGCTTTATTAAATTCACTTACAAAAGCTAGGTTCTAAACTATTTATTTATATAATATTGCGCCAATAGCTATCAAGGAAATTATTATGTTGATTTAAAAAGAATTAAGAAACAACTACGTGTATAGCTATGCTTTGGTGGCATTTTGTACATGTCAATGATTTTGATTTCAAACTCATATTGTAATGATTGCAATAAACAAGATCATCTGATTCACATTCTAAGTCTTGAGCTTCAGACCAGACGGGATCCTTTTGAGAGTAAAAAATTTTTGATTCGGGACTTTCTTTTTCATTTGATCTAAAAGCCTTTAAAGTCTCCTCCATCACTCTGCTAAGTGATTTTAACTCTTGAGACGCAAGTTGTTGTTCTTCGTGTAGAAGCATTTTTTGCTTCTTAAATCCCTGTTCCTTCTTGTCCAAAGTTGCTTCTAGGGATAAATTTTTTTCTTGCAAACCTTTATTTTCTTCTTCGAGAAAAGAGCACATACGCTTAAGGGACTTGTTCTCCTCCAAAACTTCCTCAGTTTTTGTTTTTAGTTCCGAAAAAAAGTCTTTTACGACTTCAATATCCTTCTGAGTCTTATTTACCACAATTTCCTCAGTTTTTATGATAGGTGCCAAAAAATTCTCTTTTAAGTCTTTTAAAAATTCTTTCAATCATTCGTTAACCATATTCGTACAAGTTTTTGATGATTTTCTTTATGTGTTAATTGTGAAAAAACAGAAAATTTTAAATGACTAAGAAGTCTAGGAGTACGCGTTTTATTATGAGTCATTATTAGATTAGGTAATACGAACTTACTAATTAATCACAGCTCAGCCACTAGCTGTTTTGGGAATAGTGAGGCTTAGAATTTTATTAATAACAGTAATGAGATTTGTATGATGTCATAATTACTGTTTATTTTATCTAAAAGAGTAGTAGAACCCAGACTATTACAAATAAGAGAAGAAAGGATTTGAAAAAAACTTAAATCTAATATGTGTGCATAGAACTTTATTCTTCATCCCCTACGGGACTTCACTCTTCGATCTGTACTATTTGATAAAGTAGGACTACGCTAATTAATCAAATGGCAATCTAAAAAAAATTCAAACCCGTATTGTTCTTTCAGCAAATAGCTGCCACCTGTAAATACTGTCAGAGGTGGAATGATTCACACTATTCTAATTGTTAAAGAAACGAACTAAAAAAAATAGACGAACACAAAAAAAGAAAATTTGAGAAACTAGAAATAGATAAATATCTATATATAAAATAACTCCTATAAAGGAAAATAAAACAAAAAAGTAAAATGAATGAAATCACACTAAAAAATCAAATAAAATATTATAAAATTCAAGCTAAATTAGTACTCTTTGACGATTTCGCCACCGTGGAGTCAATTTCAGAAGGATGATCTTGACAGAGTCATTTAGGTACTGTAATATTATCAGAAAATGATAAATTTCGTGACGTATAAGCATCACGTTTTAGTGGACGAGATTCCAGGGCTTTAGTGCCTTCAGAAGTAAAAGCAGAATCATAACTGAGGTAAGCATCGTAAGGATGGGTATAATAGCCTTGAGTGTAATCTTTTTGCTTATAGCGGCGTGATAAAGGGATCCTTACAACTTGCGGGAAACCATGATAAATTCCTGTATATCTTGTCTAATTTTAGCTTGATCCTGTTTTGAACTATAATGAGGGTTCATGAGATCCTGATTATAATACGACATGCGTCTATGATAAGTATCACTAAAACTCAACAAATCAGCTGTTTGTGTCCAACATTTTTTGAGATATTTCGGACTTGTGCCGTGATATGTGGCTTGAGCTAATGACTGTTGAAGAGATCTCAGTCGTTGTTGTTCAATAGCTTCATGTTCCCTATTAAGAAATTCTTGATGACGTCATTCTTCAGTTTGTATTGCCAATTGTTTCTTGAGATTATACATATATGTGAACCATTCTCGTGACCCAGGTATAATATAACAACCATTCTGATCATATAAAGGATCAGAGGGAATAATATTCCTATATTTGAGAGGGATAAACATATTAGATGTAGGGTTGTATAGTAATACTGCGAAAACTGTCCCTTCTATTACGTCTTCTTCAATGGGTAAAGGTGTGGATGTAGGAACAAATGGCATTGGAAGCCTAAAAGAAATTTTAAACTTATAGTCATCAGCGCTAGGAGTGATCCTAGCTTTCTTGTAAGTAAGATGAGAAATTCTGTATTTGAACTTCTGAGATGGAAAGAAGAGAAATTTATGTTTCTTTACAATGGATAAACATTGTGCATGATTTAAAGTAGTACCCGGTCGAAGTTTGACCTTATTGAAAAGATGTCTGCAAGCATGTTCAAATCGTGACCTTTGTCGTTTAGCTACTTTATCGTTGTGGTTTGGTGTGAAATGTAAGTCTTGTGGTCCACAGGAATACATATATTTGTGTCCAATATCTCGAATATTTTCCATAAAATGGGCTATATACCGTTAGTATAAGAACAACCAGTTTTTCTTAAAACAATAATTTTTTTTCCCTACTATTCCATCGGTCGTGAAGTAAATTAGCATGCTCTGCTTTGTTGTTATCAAATATATTGTCTTTTCGTCGAATAACCAAAATCTGGTTATGTTTTTGAAAATGGATACCACAATTGTATCACATAATAGGACCCAGAAATATATATATAGGGGTCAGGTGATGAAAAAAATTTTTTACTATAAGCTGTACGCATTTTTTCAGGGCCGGAATTATGATAATGTCAGTCAGATACTATAATAGGAAATAAAAAATTCTGACCGGCATTATCAGAAATTATCTAAAAAAGGAAAGATTTTCATGATTTTTTTAGTTCAAAATACATAAACTCAAACCTGACCCTTTTATATATATTTCTGGGTCCTGACATAATTATGGGACTAGGCGCTGAACATATTTGAGGATTATTCTAGGACCCCGAACAATACATGAAAAGGTAACAATAGAGAGTTTGCGTAGAATGAGCCCAAAAAGTATGTAGATCATTTCCTTTTTGGATAATTCTTACCAGCATTACATAGTGCCGGCCCTGAAGAGATGCGTAGAGCTATTAGTAAATTTGTGCTGATCTCTTGTTACCTATTTATATATTGCTCGGGGTCCTATTATTCTTGTTGAATTCATGTGTAATTTGACCATTACACGGGACATATATTCCAAAATAAAAATGTTATCAAATTAAAAAAAGTGCGTGTCATATAATTATGATCATTAATTTTTTGTTCACGTGATTTGATGATCTTGATACGGTCCAATAGTTTATTTCTAATTAAATTGAAATATTTTTTTGAATTCTACGTGGAATAACTCTTTGTGCAGAAAAAAAATGCTGGAGGCTTTTGCTAATTTGATATTTGGCGTTCAGAATTTTGCTTGTGGATTTATAACTAATCATTTGTGTGTATCTTCAAATGAATTTGATTGGTGTTTAAATGTTGATCAACAATCTCAAAAAGAAACTTCTTGAACGTAAATCCAGATTTTTTGATATTGGTCACGTGAAATTTTTTGAATGAAATTTTGAAAGGAAAGCCTTTCGAAGGTGAAGATATGATATTATCTAAAGGTATAGGAGTAACATCACTATGATTAGGCGTTGAAGGAGTATGAGGAGGTGGTGAAGGTAAGTGCCCCCTCCATAACTGATTTCTTTGACAGGAGCATTACGTTGAGTATCAAAATAATCTTCCACTTCGCAACACTCCTTTATACAACTTGGTAACCCAACACCAGCAAGAGATGACTTAGAAAACTCTATACAAAACACTGAGCCGCAAATAATTCTTACTACTGAGGATATTTTTTCTTTGATATTGATAATATTTACCCTTACACATACTCTACTCTCCATGAAGAAGAGCTTATACCGGAAGAAATTTACAGTGCAAGATAGAGCTCTGAATGGGTCAGGTCAGGTCAGGTTAATTGATAAACCTGACCTGAAATTTTTTTTCAGGTCAGGTCAGGTCAGGTTATATCAGGTTGTCTGTTTGACCTGACCTGACCTGAAACCTGAAAAATTTCAGGACTATTTTTATTAAAGTATTGAAAAAAATGGTACAAAACTTTTTTTTTTTAATATAATATTATGAAAAAAATGTTTTCGCAACGTTATTATTGAAATATCAAAAAAAAAAATGTTACGAAACATTTTTTTAATATAATATTATGAAAAAACGTTTTCGCAACGTTTTTTCTTGAAATATTGCGATTCAACATTTTTATATTAAAATCATATAAAAAAGTGAATCCCAATACTGCAATTCACTTTTTTATATTGATTTTGTATAAAAAAAGTGAGTTGCGGTATTGCGATTCACTTTTATTATATAGTAGAATCAATAGTTTCAGGTCAACAGGTCAATCAGGTCAGGTCAATCTTCATACCTGACCTGAATTTTTTTTAAAAATCTCATACCTGACCTGAATTTCAGGTCAGGTCAGGTCAGGTTACCTGAATTTGGCTGACCTGTTCGGAGCTCTAGTGCAAGACCAGTCTATTTCAACAAAATTATTTGAAGTCATAATCCCTTATTATGTGGGTATGTATAGAACAAAAAACCCAGTTGGGCCTCTCCCCTTTGGTGTTTCTAATAGAAACTAAAAAAAAAAAACTTGCGCTAAATTAGCAGAAAACTAACAAAACATAAAAAAGGGAAAGAGTTTTCATGTCATAATTACTTAAAAGGGCGCAGAACTGAAATAGAGAAATGATAAAGTCACATGACAGAAATTTCAGCACTGTATAAATTTGTGGAATGACCATTTCTTTGAAAGGCCACGCCAAGCCTTCATACAAAAATTCATAAATTATACAATAATTTTTTAGATATCATAAAGCATTAATTAGTTTAAATTATATGTAAATATTATATAAATAAGTAATAATAGAATTAAATAAACAACTTACCCCCTATATTATTAAATAATTTTCCAATAAAGAATTTAGTTAGTATAAATAAGTAATAATAGAATTAATTAATAACTTACTCCCTATATTTATTAAATAATTTTTTTTAAAAAAGAATTTAGTTAGTTTAAATTATATGTAAATATTATATAAATAAGTAAAATAAATATAACCTATAACTTACAATCTATTTAAATAAAGAATTTAGTTATATAAATAAGTAATAATAGAATTAAATAACTTGTAACTTACAATCTATTAAATAGAAAATTTAGTTAATTTAAATTACAGTATATGTAAAATATTACATAAATAAGTAATAATAAAATTAAATAGATAACTTATAACTTACCAACTAAATAAAATTATTGAATGAAGAATTAAGTAGTTTAAATTATTATAAATGTTATGTAAATAAGTAATAATAGAAATAAATAAATAAATAACTTAAACTTACCAACTAAATAAAATTACAAAATAATTTTTAAATAAGGAATTTAGTTAGTTTAAATTATATGTAAATATTATATAAATAGGTAATAATAG